GAGTCACAGAATGTGTCTTCAAAGAAATGATTAGCACAGCGTGTTAATCAACTCACCTCACACTCACAGTCAGAAGGACCTGGAAATGAGAAAAAAGACACCCCTCCTGTCCTTGGTCACAGGAGAGAGTCAGGAAGAATGAGCTCCTACATGGAGACCATACTGTGAGTTTTTGAGTGTGTATTCATGTGTCTCTTCTCCCAAAGACTTCCATGAAATCCTACGAAAATGAGGTGAGCTACTGTCCTGATGCCCCAAAGCAAAGAGAGCACCCCCTTACTCCCCTGAACAAAGCCTGCTCCCCACGCCCACAAAGGCATCCTGCAATCCTCTTGCTATCTCTGTCCTCACCTTCCAATAACCTGGAGACTCTCACTAACCAATGATGCCCCACCCAGAGCAGCTGTTCAACTCTATGGAAGAAAGCACACCTGAGGGTATTTCTTAAAGCTCCTCAGGGAATCTGAGAAAACCCAGAGGATTTATCTCAAGATGTTTAAAAAAATAAAGTAACAGACATAGAAAAAATAAATCCATGGAATAAATGCACACTTGTGAACACGTGCGCGCGCGCGCATACACTCACACACACACACACAAAACACCACAGTAACAAAGGTAAGGCTTCTAATATTCCTTAAAGAAAGCATCAGGTAGTGATAGAAGTTGGTCACCTCCTCGTTTCTAACCCAGGAAATGACAAGGGACCCATGACCAACAGACAAATTTCTACCCTCTGAGTGAATAAGGTTTGAAATTGGAAGCAAATTATTATAAAATTCCCAAGCCTTATAAACTGGAGATATATAAGTCTCGTTCAAATCAGTATAACAAAAACAACCCAGCTATTAAATTCAATAAATATAAACTTAGAAAAAGAAAAGAAAAACATAGAGACAACCAAGATGGCGGCATAGGTAAACACCTGAACTTGCTGCCACGCACAACCACATTACAACTACAACTAAAAGACAAAACGACTATCATCCAGAACCATGGGAAGGCTGGCTGAGTGGAAATTCTACAACTAGAAGGAAACAGAAAAGCGCACTGAGTCCAGTAGGAGGTGCAGAGGTGTGGAAGTGTGGAGGTACAGAGGCATGCGCAAAAGGGGCTGGCAGCTGGGTACGCTGGTGTCTTTTTCAATCGGGAGGGAGATACAAGCTCCCAGCTGCTCTGAACTCCAGGTCCGTGAGAGAATCTGGGGTCCCAGACTCATATGGAGAGAAACTGGACTGTCTAGTATTGAGCCAGAACGTGAGGGCGGCTTTCTCTCAGAGGTGCTTGCTGGGATCATTGTTCCTGCACAGAGCCATGGGACAAAGAGACCCAGGGACCACTCCAGAGCAGACCTGACTGGCAGCCATTGTGATTTGCTCTGCCCCGTGATTCCCTGAGACCACACACCACCCAATTTGCAACCCCACCCAAGCTGTGTGCAGAGGCTTTTGCATAGGAATGGCCTGGCCTTTCTCTGCCTAAAAACCTGTCAAACTGCAGCTGGGTCAGGGAACCCCAGACCTTCCAAAAGAAGGCCTAAAACTCGTCAGCAGACTGCACTGCTTCACAGCTGCGCCTTATTTGGGCACCTCCAAAACCCAAACAAAGAAGAGGAATCTGCAGATCTCTCTATAGCTCCTGCTTGGTGGCCTAAGGCAGTGGCTGACTTTGCACCTCCTTGGAGATCCAAGAGCCATTATACCCAGTGGTAAGAGTGAGACCATCTAGATAACAACTCCTCAGATCCATAAGAGACACACTCAGGGTTCAGACTCAGTGAGCCCCAATGAAGCAAGTCCTGCCCCATAAGGGGGTCTCCAGCACAGCACTTCTCCCATTGAAGGCACAGCTGGTCCTCACAGCCACTTGGCCTGGAGGTCAATTCTTCCCAGTGAGACCAACAACAATCAAGGATTAACTACAACAAGACTGTGCATACAACCTACAAAAGGGTGCACCAAGAGTGTCCACCTCAGGTGATTGGGAGGCTGAGGCCACTGTGCCCTACAGGACACCTACTACACAAAGCCACTCTACCAATTCCAGGAGACAGAGCAGTTTTAACTAATACATAGAAACAAACACAGGGAAGCAGCCAAAATAAAGAGACAAAAAATAATGTCACAAATGAAAGA